TAGGGTAGGTAGGTAGGTAGGTAGGTAGGTAGGTAGGTAGGTAGGTAGGTAGGTAGGTAGGTAGGTAGGTAGGTAGGTAGGTAGGTAGGTAGGTAGAGAGAGAGAGAGAGAGAGAGAGAGAGAGAGAGAGAGAGAGAGGGGTGTATGAGCCACCATGGAGAAGGTAGGCCAAGCTCCCATTAGGACACAACTCAGTGACCAAAAGCTTCTCCTCCTTCCTGTAGTAATAAGCCAAAACAGGCAGCAAATTAGGGTGCCTCAACGTCCCCATCCTCTTCATGTGCTCATCAAACTCCTCTTTTCCAGCATTATTCATCTCTCTAAACCTCTTCACCACCAGCGCGGGACCACCATGCAGCACTGCCTTATAAGAAGAACCCAAACTCCCACTCCCCAACACCTCAGCTGAGGCCTTCAACAAATCTTGCAGCTCAAATGTCCTTATATCATCGCTAACAAACACCAGCTTGCTTTGCTCCAACTCTCTTGCAGGCTTCTTCTTGTGTGAGCCTAGCTCTGCTCGATCTTCGGCGAAAGATGCAACTTTGTTCGGAGCCGTCGATGGGTTGCGATGGCTAGCGACCGACTTGCTTCGGCGGCGCAGATAGAAAAATGCAATGGCAATGACGGCGAGCGCGACGATGATGGCTATGACTATAACTATGATCTTTGTAGTAGAGGGCTTTCTGGGGCTTGAGCTTGGGGTGGAGCCGTTGCATAGTGTTTTTAAGGGTAAGCCGCATAGGCCTTCATTTCCTGAAAATTATGCCGGGGAAATGGAAACTTTGGGGATTCTAACAATTCTTAACAGCAATCTAAAACGCATTCATAAAAAAATTACATCAAATTTTTTTTTAAAAAAGCTCGGTTAAATACTTAAAAACAAGGATCCCTTAATTTTCGGATGAAAAATAATAATAATAATAATAATAATGATGATGATGATGATAACGATGATGAGGTGGAGGAGGGAACAATAAAAACAATTAGGATGATCTTAATTCTTAATGGGTGCTTTAGGATTAACCTACTTTTAACTCACCTGTAAATGAGCTGGGACCAAATGACTTGAGGCGCGCCGGGATCTGACCCACCAAGTCGTTGTTTGACACATCGAACTTCTCGAGGCTCGTTTGCTGAAAATCGGGTATCTCTCCGGTAAATTGGTTTCCGTTCAGCATCAGCTCCAATAGCTTCGGGACCGATGTGAGAGACTTTGGAATCTGACCGGACAATTCATTATCCGACAATACCAGTTTCTTTAAAGACCCCATCCCGGAAAATGTATTGGGGGCGATTTCACCAGAAAATTTATTTCCAGCCAGAAAAATAGCCTTAAGGGCCCCTAGTCTACCAAGCTCAGGAAATTCCCCTGAAAAACTATTGTTCATAAAACTTATTGATCGGAGATTCGGCACGCTCAAAAGTGCTTCGACATCGATGTTCCCCATGAGTCCCAGGCCTTCCAGCCGGATTCCATCAACCGTGTCTGTCTGGCACAGAATCCCGTACCAATTGGCGGTTCCATTAGTGCAAGGGGGAGCTTTTGCGGGTTCCCAGTTGGCTAAACTGCTAGGATTGCCTAGTGAAGCCTTGAGCTTCAAGAGTGCGTCTGTTTCTGGCGACGCAAATGCACCGGAAAACAAAAGTAGAGAGAGAAAGATGAGGAGGGCCGCGACGCTCGATGCCGCTCGTGGTGGCGGCCAAGGAGCCATGGCTTCTTGGCCCCTCACCGAGAGATAGAGCTATAGACTATAACACACTAATAATGTAGGTTATGTGAAGCTAGAGAGAGAGAGAGGACGGGATTTCAGCATGATATGTGAGCATTGAGAGGTGGGTTTAGAGATAGAAAGTGTTAAAATGGAGGGCAAAGAGGTTTTGCAGACAATGGGGTGAGGCCAAGGTTCCGTTAGGCCCAAGGACGGGCGGAGGTGGTGCTTGAGAGGAATAGACAAAAGGGTGGTGGATTTTGACGTAGTCTTACAAGCGTAGGGCTAAATATGAGCTGGTTATGAGAAATATGAGGGGGGCCACCCATTTTTTAAAGTTAATTAGTCAAGGATAATGTAACTGAAAGGTCATTGCAGTTAATTATTCTTGTTTTCGGGTTGGGATATTTTTTCTTCGAGCCGCTTGGCCGAAGGAATAATTTTAAGAAGTGTTTTAAAAATTCAAATTAATAGGGTGGATTGTTGGATCGGTGATTTATATTTGGCGCAGAGCGATCTGATCCAAAAAAATATTAATAAACAAATAAAATAAAATTAAAAGTAAAATAAAAATTTATATAATGCACTGGTTTCGGGACTTGAACTCCACATTGTTTTTCATGTCTATACATTTTGAAATTGAGATGATCGATTTGAAGATTTTTGGGTATCGTAACGATCTTTTTTAATTATTATTTTTTTCATGTCCATGCATTTTAAGGTCGAGATGATCGATTTAAATATTTTTGGGTATCAAAACGACCTTTTCTAATTATTATTTTTTTACAGTATGTATGCGATGGTATCCAGTTTTTTTGTGAGATTGGTTTGCTAGTTGATTCCAATACTCGGAATCCTAAAAAGTGAGCACACAATAAGTTCCCACAGGAACATATAATCTTCTGGCTTTTAATTTTATGATCATTTATTAGAATACATCTAATATTAAAAGTCTTTTAACTATCATTTATTTGAGACCATATTTGAAAATTCGACAGCCGATATTTAAAAAATAGTTTATACTTTATACCGTATTAAAACCTTATAGCATAACATATTTACTACAGTTGTTTCTTGAACATTTAAATATAAAAAAAAAACTCAGTCGTTATTATCACTGCATTCATTAGTCGTCGCTAATATTAGTGCGTATGGACAACAACTGTGACACGTTTCATGCATTGATGAGCCGGCCGACTGTCAGCATAGGACCCATCTACTTTTCTTGGCTTTTATTTTTTTTGATACGGACGGCGCGGTTTGGGCAACGATGTCTGTTGTGGTTTTACTGATCGTCCATCATACAAAAGATTTGGTTTTTTTTTTAAAGGAATGTTATCAAATTCGCTCTCATTCGGCCGTAGCATTCGGATTTTAAACCTAAATTGAAGCGAAGAGAGGCGTGGTGTTGTTGTTTCAATGAGCCGCATCGCGCTACTTCCATTTGTTTCGGTCTACTTTGGGTATGTTTTGGTCGAAGTTTCGGGCTCTTTCGGTAGAAAAGAAATATTTATATAATTTTTTTAAAAAAATTTGTTTTAAATTTTTTTTATGTATTTTATATATAAATATCAAATATATTTATGTTAAATTTTTTAAAAAAATCCGAAATCTTCTCCCGAATCTGTCGAAGCACCGAATTACTTTATTTTTCTCAACAAATCGCAGAAGACTCCGAAGCGAATCTGACAATATTGATTGAAAGGTCACAATTTCTACTAGTCGATGTAGAAACGAGTCACCTCTTAAAAATCTATTTTTGAGATGGATTTTTTAACTTTATGTTTAAGGAAAAAATTTATATAGAGTGGAGGCTCACCTAAAAAATTTCACTAGCAGAGGTTGTTTTGATGCCCAAATATCCTCAAATTGGACATCAAGATGCATGGACATGAGCAAGAAATGGATTTCAAATTTTGGAAATAGTGCATATTGTAATGCATTTTTGGATCGTCAATTTTCAAGATTTCCATTAGATCTGCTCAATCTACACTGTTTTTAAAGTTTCAAATTTTATAATTAAAGATGAAAATATATGTTAAGGCTATCACAAATATTTTCAGTATTGAAACCACATTTTTCGATACTATTTGAAGGTACGATTTACTTTGATTGTTTAGAACCTCGACTCTATACAAACCGCACCATATTTTTAAAGATATGTAATATGTAATATGAAGATCATGAATATGCAAAAAATAAATAAATTTAAATAATGATTCTATTAATAAAATATTTGGACCGTTAGTTTTAATTGTTTTTGTGAAGAGTCTTAGGTTTCTCTGAAGAGACTCAGTATCTAATGAAGATTATGAATATACAAACTTGTCTTAAATAGATAAATACAAATGACAAAAGTAGAAATAAATCACAAACATCTATACTTTACCCTGATTTACCATAAAATACAATATACCCTTCCCATATATACCGATTACAATATGCACCTTCCCAAATATACAGATTACCATATACACCTTATACAAACGGGCCCTTAAGGAAAACCTTTTTGGTGTATTCATAGACATTATTTATTTCACGGATTTAGGATCTATGATATAAACTGAGTCACTCTGAATGTATTTCTGCTTTAGATCTATGTGAAGAGTCTCAGGTTTTTCTGAAGTGACTCATTATCCATTAAAGATTATGAATATACAAGCTTGTATTAATAAAAAAAATACATATGATACAAATAAAAATAAATCACAAACATCTATACTCTACCCAAACTTATCATAAAATACAAGATATTATACCTACCCTTCCCATATATATCGATTACAATATACACCTTCCCAAATATACATATTACTATATATGCCTTATATATGAACCAGATAGGTATTATATACTTTCCCTTCACACTACCCCTCAAACTCAAAGATGATATGAGAGAGAGCAGCTGGAGTTTGCACACGAATTGCGAAAACGAGCATGATCTTCTTGTGCATAGCGTGACTAGTAGAAACGGTGGTTGTCATGCTCTGCTCTCCAATCAAATAGATCAAATCGACGACAATGCTTCATGGATGAGGAATTGACATGGTGAATATGAACCTTGCTCTGAGACCATACGACGAGTCTCAGGTTTCTCTGAAGAGACTCACCATCCATTGAAGATTATGAATATACTGGCTTGTCTTAAATAGACAAATACCAATGACAAAAATAGAAATAAATCACAAACATCTATACTCTATCCGGACTTACCATATAATACAAAATATTGTACTTACCCTTCTCATATATACCGATTACAATATACATCTTCCCAAATATGCAGATTACCATATACGTCTTCTATATTAATGTGATAGGCAATGTAAAATTTCCTTTCACAGTTTTTAGATGGACTACCTATTTGCATCCATCTTTAAGATGGATGCTTTATACCTTGGGACCGCATAATGTAAAAATGTGGTCCAGCCCACATGAAACAATTTTCCAAAAAAATAAAAGTATTTAATTAGCTTTATCCTCCTCACTCATTTTGCTCAATTTTGATTGCTTTTGAGATCCTAGATCCAAAAAGAGGATAAGAGGTTTTCTTGAATAAGCCCACTCTTAAAACTTTATTTTTGATATAAATTTTTTGACTTAGTTTTTAAGGACATATAATCCCTAATATGGAGATTATAAATATTAATAAGTGAATAAATTTTAAAAAATAAAATTAATAATTTTATGAAGAAAGCCTTTGGATTGTTATTTTAATTGTTTTAGGTGGACCACCAGGGAAAAGGCAAATATAGAAATGCGCCCCCCCAACATATGGAACAATTTTAAAAAATGAAATAGCTATAGCCCACCAGAAACATTGGTATCCCAATCCACCTGTCAAATTAGTGTCAACTAAGGAAAAAGTTTATATAAGATTGCAACCTTAAAATGTAGAATTAAAGATGCACCTCAAAAATCCATCCAAAAAGGTTGTTTTAATGTTGAAAAACCTTCTAATTGATCATCTCGATATTGAGATGTATGAATATGAAAAAAAGAAGATTTTGAGTCCTAAAAATAGTACATCTTGCAACACATTATCTAAACCATCCATTTTCAAGATTTTTTTTATATTTATAGATCTACCTGATTTTAATTGTTTTTTGAGTTTAAAATTTTATAATTAGACATAAAAATAGATTTTCAAATAATCGTAAGAAGTTTTTACACTAAAATTACATGTTATGATAAAATTTGGAGGTGCGTCTTGATTGGATTATTCAAGGTTGCAACGTAATAGAAACCACACCCCTTACATAAACTTTCTCCCAACTCCAAATGCCTCTCGAGAACGGAATAAAGTTTAATTATATCTTAGTTTCCATTCATGTGTAGTGAGAGATTGGATTGGCAAAGAGAGAGAAAGATTGGGTCCAGAGGGAGATAGAGAGAGCAGATTAGGTATTAGATTGGATATTTATAGAGAGAGGGAAGAGAAACCTAGAAAGAGAGGGGAGAACAAGAGGGATGGAGAGAGAGAAACCTAGAGAGAGATCGGGAGTGAGACATGGCCGTACATAGAGAGATATAGAAACCTAGAGAGAGCGAGATGGACGGCGGATGTTATCGTATAGGCATGCTATTTCTTGTGTATATCTTTTGTATATCTTAATAGGTTATATCTTTTGTATATCTTAATAGGTTATATATCTTTTGTATATCTTAATAGGTTATATCTTTTGTATATCTTAATAGGTTATATCTTTTGTATATCTTAATAGGTTATATATCTTTTGTATATCTTAATAGGTTATATCTTGATAGGTGTTATTGTTACCTTTTTATAACTGGCTGTATATTTATATGGATGTTGTTAGCATGCAGCCAATCCGCATACTGTAGAAATGCGGGATTGGAAAAATGTGGGTTGGCAATAAATATTATTCAAATATAATTTGACCATAATTTTTAGAGAATATATAATATTTAATATTGAGATAATGAATACGAAAAAGTAAATAATTTTTGAAAGTTATAAATAATAATTATATTAAAAAAACATTTGAACCATTAGTTCAATTGTTTTTAGACGGACCACCTATTTGCGTCCATCTTAAAGATGGATCTATAACTATGGACGGCATATTGTAGAAATGCTGTCCAACCCGTATGAAATGATTGTTTTATTTATATTGCTCATGTATACTGTTCAACACAACAATATAGAGAGAGTTGTCTATAGAAATTTTGAGACTTTGCAATAGGTTTTTCAAGCCCTATTGTCGAGTCCTGAATCCCTGATGCAAGCCTTATTCACCAGTAGTGTTTTGACTCTGC